ATGATCAAGGGGACACAATTTAAACTTGACATATGGATAGATCTTAATGGGAGAAGCATTTCATAAAATAATATGATATCGTGTAATGCATTCTCCCAGATAGCAAAATATCTGGGGCCCATCTGGGTTTTGTATGGGATGGCTAAAGCCCACGTGGCCCATACAAAAACCAGATGGGCCTTCCCACCCAGAACCCACGCATATGGGCCCCATGTGGGCCCCATGTGGGTTTTTGGTGGTGAAAATCGCACGTCGAGCATTGGCTGGGCCCAGCTAAAAACCAGTTGTATACCAGATGGGCCTTCCCACCAAAAACCCACAAGTACCAACACATATGTGCCCCTTGTGGGCCCCATGTGGGTTTTTGGTGGTGAAAATCGCAAGTCGAACAATGTCTTCGCCCAGCTGAAAACCAGATGTATACCAGATGGGCCTTCCCACCCAAAACCCACAAAATATACCCAGAATTTGCATAATGAATATGGGGTGCGTGCATATCTATGTTTTTTTACAATTTATCTGAATTTACAGGATATTTCCTAATTGCTGATGATTTAGTTATAAGCAATTCATTTCGAAAATTCTATTAAATGTAAATTGCTAATTATTAGGACATTTCACTACTTTGTATACATTACATTTAATTAAACATGAATTAGGAAAAACACTAACTATGACCTAAAACAGATTCAATAAAATACAAGTATATGGAAATGTCTCATCACCGCAAAATAACCAAGTCTTCTTAATACCAATGCCTTTACATTAGAAATTTTAGACGATGTGTTGTTGCCAATGGCAAAATTAATTAGTACAAGTGCTACATAAATTACTAATTAAGTCTGCTAATTGGAGCTAACAACTGGTTGAAAATTGTGCCAAATGGTACGACTGGTCCAGTTAAACCCAACTGGTAACCCTGGAAATTGAAATGGGATAAATGAATTCAGCTACTGGGTAAAAATAGAACCCATTTAAACAATGAAGCCCATTTAGAACCACATTGGCCCATATGGGACCATATCAAACCCACTTGGCCCATATAAAAACCCGCTTATAGCCCATATGGGGCCCATATGGAACTCACTTGACCCATATATAGAATGTGGTAGGTCCCACATATAACCCACATGGCCCATCTGGTGCCCAATAGGTAACCCTTGTGTATATTGATGGGCCAATTGTGGGGCCCATCTGGGTTCTACGTGGGCCCATCTGGGCCAAGTGGGTCCAATCTGGGCCGCCCATCTGGGGCCCTTCTATAACCCGGGTGCAGATTGCTGGGCCCAACATGGGGCCCATCTGGGACCCAAATGGGCTAAATGGGCCAAGTGGGCAATAGATGGGCTGGCCCATCTGGGCCAAGTGGGCCAGCCCAGTTGTAACCAGATAAAACCCAGATGGGCCCCACAACATTTTGCTATCTGGGTTATTATGTAAACCATTAGCATACGTATCACCTAATTCGTCAAAGTGACGAATTAAAGTCTAGTATTTTTTGTGTCTGTATGGAAGAATTTATTATTATTCTTCCATGAACTTGTTCGCAGGATATCTCAATAATGGAACAAGCCATTGTCATGAAACTGGGCCTGAAGATAGATCTTAGTCCAACTTAGAACTGCCCGACTTTACAGCGACGCCAGGTCATCGTGATGTCATCATGACGTCAGTATGTGAAATGTCATTAATGGTCGTACCTCAGCCATGCAATATCAATTTCAATTCAAATTTGGCATAAAATCATGCTCAGGTCATGCGTCAGAATTTTAGCCCACGCACATGCGCCTTCCATTTCAAACGTGCGCGTCAAAAAGAAATAAGAATTCAAAGTGCTTAAAACCCCAAACCAAGTAATTTTCTATACGTTTCAGACAATTTTAAGCGTTTCAAAAATGTCCGCGCGTGCGGGTCGGTGCGCGCGTATTTGCGCGCATAACGTACGTGGAACGGAGAAATTCCTTTTTTTGCATTTTTTGGATTTCTGATACTTTCCTCAACAATACCTGTAAATTTCAGTTAATTTTGACACATAATGATGGAATAAGCGGGCGTCAAAGATAACAACACGCGCGCGCACACATTTGCAATTTCAAAACAAAACATGCCTATGTTTAATACGTCATAACTTCTATAAGTGCCCGGATAATCCAATTTCTTTTAATAAGTGGATTAAGTATGAGTTGTATATATTATTCCATACATCTTTTTGGCTTATCGGATTTTCCGATATCATCATATTGCTCGTTCAAGTCAAAGCTTTTAATTTTAATTGATTAAGTAATTAATGACAATGCACGTTGGACCATATATCGTTCATCTTTATTCGAATTTCTCCAAAAAACATTTTGTGTTGTTGCTGAGGTTATTTTTTAAATTACTCGTGACATTTATTTTCCATTTTTTTGACGGGATCATGACGAAATTTGTGGTCAAAGACGACGAGTCCAAGTCAAACTTCAGTTTTTACATGCACTTGTGATGACGATCGAACCCAAATGATCGCAGTAAAATTTTAAACGTCCCACAGAAGTCTGCCGTCACTATAAACGCGTCTTAGATTGGTCTTCAATTGTGCTCGTCATTAATTGTCTTACCGCTGGAGACTTGGAGATGTCTTTTCTCTAAATGCTTTTGATTTTTTTTATGCTTCAAATTTGTCAGATCAAAATTGGATAAAATGACCCTTCGCAGGTCTGATCTTAAATTTATTGACCTTTGATACTCCAGACCTACAGGCAAACGATTTAGATGACATATTTTATGATCCCACGGCAGCGCTCAAAATACACGGGGGCGGTGGGCGATTCGCCCCCGTGAGCTACATAATCGCCCCCGTCAGGTTGCTCACGGGGGCGATTGCAAAATTAAAAATCGCCCCGGTGGCATTATAAAATAAAGATTATCTTTTCTGTTATAACTTTAACACAATATTGAGTTTCAATTTTCAAACCTTAAACCAATGAAATGGAACTAAGATTAGCGTGCAGAAACATGGTCAGTTTTTCGTTGTCAGCAAATAATGAACCTCGACCAGTAAATCAATATTAGGGACTTTTAGATTTGCACGTTGAAAACGTGGACTGCAACGTGTGACCTCCTTTTAAGGCACTGCCAGTGCTTAAAAGGACGTCACATGTGACTGCCAGCGCCTTAAAAGGAAGTAACACGTCCACGCAAATCTAAAAGTCCCTATTGAGAAGAAGAGGAAGATGAAGAGAACAAGATGTCGTGGAATGATATGATAACATGGGCAGATCTACGGGGGGGGGGGTTAGGGGGTTTAACCCCCTCCTCCCACCCCCACCCCCCCTCCCCGGCCCCCTTGGGCTGCGGGGGGAGGGGGATGCTTGAGAGGAGGACTACTAATCTATTTTATTTTTTCAGGGGGCGGGGGGAAGTGAAGCAGATAACCCTAAGTTTTTGGTTGCTGCTTTATATGTACACTGTTGGTCATAATGGTGGAATAATTATTTTTACCCCAGTTAAGGGAAGGATTTAAAAAAATTATTTATTTCTAATAGATCTAGATAATGGCATACATTCTCAGATTTTATTGAATATTAATTTGCGAGTGTTTGTTTTGCGTGACTGCTTAGTCATATGTGTGCTACTATGCTAATCAGCTAGGGAACCTACGTCCTTAAATCATAATTGACAGTAATGAGGATTAATGCCTCACATAAGGGCACTATAATATAGCTGATCGACACGATTTTTATCCTGGGGCCTCACAGTAACGAGGCCATTGCTTAGCCCCTGAATCATGACTGTACGCAGTGTTTGCTAGGGTACGCGGCCGCCCCCACAAATCCCCCAAAACGAAGAAAATGCAATCAATTGTCAAAAATGTATTTAATTTTCCCCCGACCCCCAACAAGAAAAATTCCTCTGTGTGGCCATGCCTTGAACCATAATGCATGGCCCTACAGAGGATTTTTTTTTTCTGTTGGGGGCCTTTGTGTTAGTAGTTATTCATCGTCTCTACAATGCTATTTGAACAATATTTGGTGACAAAAGACGGCATTTCTATGTCGGGTCAAAGGCCGTCAAATAACGAAAACATGGCACACAAAAAGATTCTCAGTACTGGGTCTGATCTAAAGGAAACTTAATTTGAACCCGGCCATATTCTGTCTCTCTCTGTCGCTCTCGTTTGTCATTGCCTTCATTTTCCCTCGCTTTCTTCATTCTTACCACGGAATATGTAATGTGTATGCACTTGTATGCCTCAATCATTGAGAATATACTCACTAATATTGCTGAAATGATTCTTCTCCTACCCTTTTTCTTCATTTACTTCTCCTTAGTAGTTGTAGTTGTAGTAGTAGTAATAGCAGCAGTATCATAATAATCATTAATATTATCATTGTTATATTTATTATTATAGTAAATATCGTAATTATAATCATTATTATAGTAAGTATGTGTTATTGTTATTATTCGTATAGTTATTTGTATGCTTCTTCTTCTTATCATTATTATCGTATACACAATACGTCATGTGCCAAGAATTTATTGCTAGGATACATCCAAGATGTCTACCAAAACTGTCAATTCGTATCACCTATCACGTATCACCTAATTCGTCAAAGTGACGAATTAAAGTCTAGTTTCTAAACTTATTTGTACCAAAATACTTTGTTTAGCTGTTTAAGGGGTTAGACTCGACTGTTATTATCTGGCCCCTTTTACCAACGACTAGTCTCTTCTTGTAAAATTATGTAAACACATTGTATGAAATGTATTATATTGCTGTATTGCTGTTGGTGAAAAAAATATATATATGTCGAGAGAAAAAAATTGTATAGTTTTTGAAAGGCGTTTTCGAGCAAACTATCTCCTTATATTATCTCACGTTGTTTTCCCTTTTCCTCTATATTTCCCGATTGGGGGAGGAGTGGGGGTTTGGGGGGGGGGGTGGGCTCCCGGTGCCGCTATCATAATTACGTCATCATTAAAAAAAAAAACACGCCGTGGTTTCGCCGCGTCACATCTGAACGATCGTGCAAGGAAAAATGATAGACGGACACCTGCACCGATGAGCTTGCCGACACTCTTCAATTCGTGTCATAATGGAATACAGAACCAGACGTGGTGGTATACAAGCAGCGTACGCTAAGGACTGAACTCGGGATATGATATATGTATTTTAAAGAAAAACTTTACAAACCGCGTTTGAAGAGACATTCACGATGGGTATACACACATTCATATCCCGCAAGAAGATGCTTGCCTTTATTTCACTCTTGACGGTTTCATTGGCCTTATTCATCATTAAAGGTAAGAGAATTATTCAAACCTTAAACCATTGTAACCATTACTTATCGAAGAATAATTTGAAGAATAACTTGGTTGGTAGATGAACTTAAAAATTGATGTCTTTTGACAAGAAATTGATGTATTCTTCTTTCCAAATTCAGGAGCAGTAAGTGGATAAGGACATCGTGTTAGAAAATATAGGAATTCCTTGCTGCACAAGCGCCGTAAAAGCAGTTATGTAAAGCTATGGCGTATTTTGTCTCCCGCGAATGCACCAGTGACTAGAGCGTTATCGTAGATAATAAACTCGCATGGTTTGAAGACAGATCTATTCTGAAACTATATGCATTCATTGACTTCCCACTGTATTGTAACTTTAACACTGAATCTTGGATGACTGTCTAAAGGCCGTTTGTATATCCAGTAGAAAAGGCACGATATTGAAAGTATTATGCACTCTCATAATTAAGCAAAGGTTAATATTCGATAATTATTTTATTACTAATCGCCATAATAGCAAACGATAAGAGGAACTAATTTTGTTTACACATTTCAAAAGAATAGTTAAAATTCAATATATGGAACAATATGAAAGTAGAATTTCAAAACTACAAAATTGTCCTTAGTTGCAATCATTCAAAAGAAAATACAGTCTTATTTTTCAAAATTTCATGTCATCGAAATGCTACATTTGCCGCTATACAGTGCGTCCCATAAAAAACGAAACCGAGAATTATCGATTTTTTATCATAACTTAATCACAATTATGTTAATAAATGACACATATTTGTCAAGCTTAGATGCTCCTCTTTCAGTTGATGCATGAGTGATTTAAAACAATTTGAAGAGAGGGTGGTATCTGAATTTCAAAGAGAAAATCACATTTCTAGAAAGTTCATTTTCTGCCATTTCATATGACACCTCGGGAAAAATGAGCAAGGAATAACAAAGTTCTATTGGTTTAAAGTAATGCTTGTATTTCAAAGAGAAATCCAATTTCTAGAAAGTTCATTTTCTGCCCTTTCATGATATATGAAAGGGCAGATAATATTTGTTATTCCTGGCTCATTACCTCAATCAGGAAAAATGAACCAGGAATAACAAAGTTCTTGTATTTCAGGAAAAATGAGCCAGGAATAACAAAGTTCTTGTATTTCAGGAAACATGAGCCAGAAATAACAAAGTTCTTGTACTTCCATAATTTGATTAAACGAATTCGTTTTCACTGGCTGCCTGCCGTAGCAACAAACGGAGTTGACAAAAGACGTATCCCCGTTTCGTTGACGATCATCCATGCACAAAGAAGACTTGACGCATGGCTGATCGTCAACGGAACGGAGTGAAGTCTTTTGTCAACCCTGTTGCAACGGCCGGCAGCAAGTGAAAATGACATTGTAGTTCTCTCTCTTCAAATTGTTTTTAATCACTCATGCGTGAAACATGCATCATATGAGTTGCAACAAATGAAAGAGGATCTAAGCTTTACAAATATGTGTTATTTATTAATTATAATTTTGATTAAGTTATGATAAAACATCGATAAATCTCAGTTTCAGTTTCTGGGACGCACTGTATTGTGTCTTATTTCCCCAATAAACAGAACACTAAAAACAACCTCTTTTGTAAGTGTATTTTAAGTTATCTTGAAGTATATATATACATATATATATATATGGTGCCTTTTGAACGTATTCGACACGTGCCTTCGTTTAGAAAAAACATGTGTACTCCTGTTCAGTAGCGTACGCAGGCTCCAAGGGGAGGGGGGGGGGGGGTTAACATTTTTAAATCGGGCCGAAAATTTCGCAACGACTCAGCCAGCCGCTGAATAAGCGCGGGGGGGGGGGGTGGGTAAGACACTTTTTTCGGGGGGGGGGAGGGTGTTGGTCCAAAATACACACGTATGCGCCTGCCACTGTTCACGTTTTCATCTCACCTAAAAACCACCAATCCATCATGCGACTGGAGTAACGTGATTCCACTTACCTCTGTATATCAAGTGTTGACCAATGACCACTTGACAAAGCAACGAGGTTTTTTATCCATTAACTGTTGGTGGTGATAAATAAGTAAATTAAGATGTCTGAATGTGTTAGCAAAGAAAAAAATACTAAGCTGGAAGAATTATTGAATAAACTTAAATTTTTAGTCTATGTTATGTTTCACTCATTGAGTTATTAATGTAAATATGTATTGAAATTATGAAAATAAAAACCTCGCTTGAGGATAAGAGAAAGATTTTTTTTTTTTTAATTCTTTAGTCTTTAAGTACCTTTATTGATTGGTTTCACAGGTTATCCAAGGTTGATGGTAATAATCACGTTACTTACACCGGCTAATCGTCTTATTATTCTGTCCGTGAATATCTGGTTTTTTAAAATTAATAATTCTGAGGTGTCGTACACATCTTTTTTAAAATGGTTTCAAAGTTACCATAACTTTCGTGGTGATGATCACGTGGCTCAAACTGATTATTAATATAAACTGGGCATCCGTGATTTTTAGTTGTGAAAAATGTGTAATTCTTAGGTGTCTTAAAACACCTTTTGAAATGGTAGTTAAAAGTTGCCATAAGTTCCGTGGTGATAATCTCGTGACTCAAACGGATTATTAATCTAAGCTGGGCATCCGTGGTTTTTAGCTGTGAAAAATTAGTAATTCTAAGGTGTTTTAAAACACCTTTTTAATTGGTAGTCAAAGTTGCCAAAAGTTCCGTGGTGATAATCTCGTGACTCAAACGGATTATAAATCTAAGCTGGGCAACCGTGATTTTTAGCTGTGAAAAATTAGTAATTCTTTAATTATTAGGTTTCTTAAAACACCATTTTAAATGGTAGTCAAATTTACCATATGTTCCGTTATGATGATCTCGTGACTCAAACTGATTATTAATCTTAGATGTAAATCTATGATTTTTTTAGGTCTGAAAAATAGGTAATTCTTGGGTGTCTTAAACACTTTTTGAAATGGTTAGACAGTTACCATTTAAGTTCCGTGGTGATAATTCCGTGACTGTTGACATAATTATTTCCAGTTGATTGATTGATTGATTGATTTTATTCCATTTCATATATCAGTTGATAACTGACTGTTGGCATATTTCTAGTTGCACACGTTGATGACTGCGTGCAGATCTATGTTTTTTTTTACAATTTCTCTGAATTTACAGCATTTTTCTTAATTACTGAGGATTGATATAATATGCATTTCATTTCTAAAATACAAAATATAAATTGCCAAATATTAGGACAATTCACTACTTTGTATAAATTACATTTGATTAAACTTGAATAAGGAAAACATTAACTATGAACTAAAATAAATTCAATAAAATACTAGTATATGCAAAAATTGTTACACGCAATTACGATTCGATGTACCATTCTCGACTCCTAATCCTCGTCTGAATTCAGTTTCCCCCCTACCGCGCGAAGCGCGGAAGCTTTGACGGTTCAATAAATTATTACTCTTAATCCTTGTCTGTATTAATTTTCGCCCATACCGCGCGGAAGCTTTACCGTTTTATTAAATTATTAGAGAAGGAAGAAGATTCGTTGTATCGTGTCTTTGTCTGAATTCAGTTCCCCCCCCCCCCCCCCCTCCCGCGCGAAGCGCGGAAGCTTTGACGTTTCATCTAATTATTACTCTTAATCCACGTCTGAAATCATTTTCGCCCATCCCGCGAGTAGCTTTCACATTTCCTTAAATTATTAGAGAAATAATACGATTTGTTGTACTGTTCTCTATATTAATCCTTGTCTGAATTCAGTTTCCCCACATGATGTACGTATGGAACGTTCGTTCGCAAATCTTTGCATGCACAGCCCGTGGTGGGTATCATGTTATCTTCCGGCAGTGCTTGTCGCAATAGCTTCTGGAAAGAAATGTTATACTACTGTTAGTGTTATCGGCCTCTAATTAGGCCCATTAGTGTCTATACAAAATATATGCTCTTCCCGGCTATTTGGGAATGTGTCAGTTTGCAACAGAAATGGAGAAACACGAATTTTGTTGAAAATCATGTGATATCACGAACATTTATAAATCACTTGTATGAAATTGAAAATAAGTCATGGTTGGATTTTAGTGGGAGGGAGGGGGGGGGCTAGCGCCCCCAAGCCCCCCCCCCCCCACCAGTACGCCAGTGACAGGCCTACATCAGCTTTTCAATAAAACAAAAATAAGATGTGACATAATAATCTTTCTCCAAAAATGAAAAATGTTTCAGGAAATAGAATGAGTGAAAAAAATAAAAATAAAGATACAATGACGTGAATTTTAAAAAGAGTGAACGGAAACAGCATAGCAACTAGTGAATTATCTTAAAGTCATACTAATGTCCGAAAATCTTTCTCTTTGTCTCCGATCTCATCACGAATTCGTCACAGAGTTCATCTATGTTTACACTGTCCAGGATTGTCTGATGTGCATTGCAGATTGCTACTTTTGCGCTTCGCGCTTACCATTTAGCTCGTTGCTTTTTAACGCTGCGGCTTTGCATTTGGCGCACTGCATTTCTATGATGCTGTTGATTGAATAAATTGAATAAATTCGTCAATTCCTGATGAAGCCGTATGAGCGAGAATTCAAATTATTCTTGTCTCATATACGGTTGTCTCATTTACTTCGTATATATATATATGTATGTATTATGATAATAAGATAGCAAAATGTGTATAATGATGGTCATCTTGCGAGTAATAACCATTAACTACTCTCATCGGGCTCTCATCATTAATTTTTCTCTTCATTTTTTTTGTTTTGATGGTGAATTATTGGGGGGGGGATGATTGTACAGGCCATCCCCCCACCTGAAATATTGGGGGGATATATCCCCCACCCCCCCCCCCCCCGGGATCGACACCCATGCTCTTATACCATGTTTCTTATTTAATATTAATATAATACAGTACTGTTATTTTGAAGAGAGTAAAACTAAACGCCTATTGAATTGAAATGTGATGATTCTATACCCCACGACACCATTTCATTAACGTGTGTGTATAGTTAAACATATACAA